CGAAAATTTAATGACATTTGGTGATCTTTAATTTTGTGACCTTAGCGTGGAAACTTGGAGTGATAAGAACTGAGATATGCTGGGTAAGTACTAGAACGTGGTACTTGAAGTTAATAAACTTTGGAACAGAAAAAATTCGCTCCCCCTTTAAGATCCGACTGTAAATGCCGAAAATATGGCGGGAAATTGAAAAAGGCGACCCCTACGTTCGACAAAAAATATGTATTTTTATTTTGGAATTGCCTTGTAAAAATACCCTAGACTTCGGGGTGTACGGTGAACTAGTTTTTTCTAGCACATGCTGCTATTTGCATTAACACAACTGTAACTAGATGCGAAATTTGAAATTAATGATTTTTTACACTCTGTGTTATACTCTTAACATTTTTGGCATACAAAATCTTTCGCTTTTTTATTTTTGAATTTTTGATTTCATGTTTTATTATAAGGACGAGGCATTGCCGTTAAGGGTTTAGTGTTAAGTAATTTATGGATGAATTTCGCTACCGAGTTTGTATTTATTTGCATAGGACGGGCAGGGAAGTGTGGCGGAGATTTATTACACAAATGAAAGTGAGCTTTACACACTAGTTATTAGTTTATGTAGTTTGTTTAATTTTTGTATGCAGTTCACTTATTTTTTTTAATTTACTTTTATTTTTCTACTGACTTAAAAGTTATTTCTACTCGCTTTTTATTGTTGTGTAAATAAAAAAAAAAAATTACGAATGATATACTCAAAGGAATATGTGGAGTGCGTTAAAAAATTAAAGTGAAATTATTTTTTACGTCAATTGGAGGCAAAGTTTATGCGCTCTAATAGGAGCTTTTCGTCTTAGATTACTTACATACCTCGCAATAAATATAAAATTTCAAACAAATTCTGCTTTTTTAATGTATGGAAACTCTATTCCTGCGCTCGAAAAGTAATCTAGGAAACCTATCAGGCCTTTAAATGACGCAAAATTTAAGTCGTTGGCAGATTCGTGTTAAATCTAAATGCAAGCTAATTAAAGGCTGGTTTTTACTATGTCGTATTTTGAAAACAAATTTTGTCAACATATTGTGACACAACTTTATGTCCTTTTCCCACACCTTCAACGAACGCCATGGGCCAAAAACGGACAGATAGCTAATTAAGCAACACATGCAAATGACTGAAGACCTATTCTGGTCGAAATCATTAAATAAACCGTCTTTAAGTTCCATTTGACAATGTGTTTTCATTCATTTGACATAGTGAAAACCAGCCTTAAGCAAATTCTGGTCAATTCTAGCCAAAGATCATTAAACCTCACACAAAATTCATAAAAAAAAATATGAAAAGCTACATACAATCGATAGCCTTATGCCGAATTTTCACTCGACATTTAAATAAAATCAATTTGCATGGAAAAGTTGGGCATTAATAAATAACATAAATAAACTGTTTTGGAATTTTTTAAATGTCTAAATTCATTTTAATGCCTGGTGTAAACTCGGTATTAATGAGTATTTTTATTAACGTAATGACACGGATTTTTTTTAAGTCCGTAATTTCCCATTGAAATTTGTATAATTTAATACCCATTGGAAATCCGTCGTTATTCCCTGGAAGATGAGGCAGGTAAGCAGAAGCTTCCAGAATGCTAATAGAGTTTGCTTTACATTTGTAAACCAATTTCTGTGAATTGAGTTTGAATATCGCTTGAAGCGTTAAGGCATTTTTGATTCTTTTTGGTAAAAAAAAATTTAATTTGCAAGATTTTTTCTTTAAAATCATTAAGCGGACTCCGTTATAGTCATTGGTGTTGGAGCTCGCCAATATTTTCATGCGAATTTTGACAGTTCGGTAAAAGTTTCGTGGTATTCGAAACCTCCCGAAGATCAGTTGATTATCTCAATTGAAAAGTGGTTATTTTGGAGGTTTATGCAAGAATTTTAAATATGTTGCTTTCATATAATATAATCGAAAAAGTGATAGCAAAAGGTAGCGTTCAAATGTGATTGAAAAAACTTAACGATTTTTTATTGAAAAATATCGATAAATTAATGTTTGCCTTCTCTTACCGCAATGCTCGAAATTTGAAATCAAAAGGTGAGCCAGCCAGCAGAGAAACGTAAATTTTGCGGACAGTGCGGTCTCGTACAATATTCTGTATACGGAAACGAACAGAAAACGACTATAATTTTCATTCACTTTCGTATGCGGAAACCGTTTGAAAATGATGTTATTTGAAAGCAATAATTGTATTTTATTTGTGCAAGCTGAATATTTGGAGCCTAGTATTTGTTGGCTTTCTGAAGGTGCCGGGTTCGAATGCCGTTAGGCACATTCTTAATTTTTTTCGAACCATGAAAAAGCATCTGTGAAGTGCAGAAGGAAAGCGTATGAACTAAAACTTCAATCACAAAACCTGTAAAAGCGTATCGGTTTCAAAGCAATTTTCGGTACTTTGTCTGTACAGACATTTTCACCGTAAACTTTAATGAGAAAACCGATCGTTAAAGTATCCGAAAATGGAATCGGTAAACGGACGAAAATCCGCATTTCATCTAATTTTTTTCCTTTTTCGTATCCATTTTCGGATTTTTCGCTGGCTGGGTAGCGCTTAAATGTGCTCGAAATTTTTTTTAGATTTTTTAATTGAAAAATATCGATAAATTCCTAATTGCCTTTCTTATAACGCCATGCTCCAAAAAGTGATTCCAACAAGTATTGCTAAATTGATTCGAAGAAAATTTAGCCCGAGTATAACGATTATTTTTTTATCGAAAATACATCGATAAATTCTTAATTTAGCCCAAGTCTAACATAATTGTAATTTTGTATCGAAAAAATATTGATAAATTATATTTGCCTTCTCATAACACTTTGCTTGGAAAAGTGAAATCAAAAAGTATTGATTAATTGTGATCGAAATAATTTGAGGTCAAACCTACTTTTTATCGATAAATTCTTAATAGTGCTTATATGAGGCCGCGAGAGCAGAGGTAGCCTAACACTTAACTAAAAGTAGTTTCAAAGCCTCAAGCTCAATCAAAATTGTTGAATATAATTGTTATAAGGCCATAAAATAACAAAAACAAATACTGTCTAAAGTGATAAATTTTTCACTTTGTAGCGTTGTACCATAAAATTAAGGAATAAGGGACTTTTATTTTCAAATGTATCTTATTTGAAACTATTTTCAGTAGTAAGTATAAAAAAAGGGTTGGGCCACTTCTGCTCTCACGGCCTCATACAGTGGTATGGTCGAGAATCTCAAGCAAAAGATTTTTTTTTTATTAATTATTTTTTTATTAATTTTTAATTATTAACTATTAATTTTTTTAATTTTAAGTTCAAAACGTACGATTATTTTTTATCGAAAAATATATCATACATATCTTATACATAGGTGATATCAAAAGTAAAATAAAAAAGAAGTGCTTAAACAAATGCCAAAACTAACGGTCATTTTTTATAGAAAAAAGATATCGATAACATCCAAATGGCTATCTTATCAATGAAATCAAAATTAGTGATCAAATGTGTTCGAAAAAATGTAACACCAAAAGTAACGACAATTATTATCAAATATTATGGATAAACAAATCAAATTTGATCTAAATAATGGGGCGTAGTATTTTCGGGTGCAACCAAAAAATCCGATCGATTAGTTTTGAATATAAATAAAATGTCGATCAAATATGATTGAGATTGTAAAAACTGCAAAAACGGTGAAATGTAATTGAAATGATTGTAAAAAATGTATCAAATAGTATGTATGAAAAATAAACATTTTAAAATAACAATGTACCTAAACCACAATCTAAATAATTGTAAAAAATATCTGAAATATGATTGAAGAAAAACATTAATTAAAGATAAAGAAATCGATGTACTGATAATCGAAATAATTATAAAACAATATGATCGAATAATTAGAAATTTAATTATTCCACGTTCACACGACAGTCGCGTCTACGTACAATTGTATGTAACTGGAATTAAGCAGATTTACTATAGGGGTATTCTCGAAGTCTTGCAAAGCTGTCCCATGGGAAAAGCAGTTTTACGGTGTATTCGAGCTGCAATTAATGCGGCAGTGCTACTTTTTATGAAAGAGCACCACGTTCTACGCGAAAATTTGGTGACTTTGCCTACATCAAGCGTTCGAGGAACAAAATTTTGACAATCAATTGCTCATCATTGGCAAATCAAAAGCAACAACAAAAAATGTTTCACTTCGCAATTTTCGCAGCATTTCAGAAGATTTTCACTTGAGCATCAGCAACATATCATCAAGAAAGCAACAAGGCGGTAATTAATACGTAGCTCGCACACACCTGCAAACCATACCATGCTAAGAAGTCATTATAGACTTAGTAAGACTTAGCATAGTATGGTTTGGAGCCGTCGATATGTACCTTGTGCCTAAAACGATGATCCCGCTTCAATCGTTTATATTGTTATCAGGAAACTTAAAAAATATAACAAATTATAGAAGGCATTAAACATTTTTCAACACTTTCATTTTTGACGTTCGTGTATAACTGGAAAATCCTTAAAGTGCGGTTAGACGTGGCAATGCAAGCGCCTTTTGCCGTCAAAATGTGAAAGCGAAAATCTAGTCGGCCATGTAAACACCCAAATGGAAAAAAATATCAAAAACACTTGGGTTTAATTCATTCTCTGATATGAAGTATGCATTTAAGTATTAATGCACTGGACATTTTGTGGCTGATTTGTCCACATTCTAGCATTTTTAGAACATTTTTAGGTCATCAATTTTGTTGAGCATCAAAATACGTGGTAAAATATAGTTGAAAGTGGAATTTTTTGCATTCAGACAAACAGATAAATAGTAATATCAGAAAGTTCGATTTTCGGAATTCAAAAGCTGCTCTCGAAGTGACTTTACATGCAAGCTCTAACTGATCTTGTAATCAACAAAGAGCTAAACGGAAATGCATTCCACAAACCAAGCCAATGAACAACCCGCCACGGCGAATAAAAACAAAAAACGATGCAAACATTTATATTTGTAAGCTACATGTATGTATATTATATATTTATTCATATACTTAATATATTCATGTGTTGAGTATATCATTCGTTTGCCGCTTGCGTGCATGCGCAAATCCTCTGTTTGTCTCGTCTCTATTTAGCGCTATTTCTAAGACATGGGAAACATCATCAACTAACTCATCTTGATGAATGATTTTAAATTTAGTTTTAGTTTTTAGTTTTTTGTTTTTGTTTGTTTAGAAAAGTTTTATTATTTATTTATTATGCGTATATATATAGCAATTTTCTTTTTCTTGTTGTTGTATGTATGTAGTAGAAATGCTTCTTAATCCATATGTTTCATAATAATAAATGTATCATATATGTGTATATATTTTGCTTGTTACTTCTGCTTTGTTTTTTTTTTTTTTTTTTTAATTTAAACCAACTACAGCTCTACTTGCACTACTACTCATCTGCTAGCTATTCGACTCGACTTCGTCGTCTCCAAACAGTTGTGTGTCGTCGTGTTCTAGATACTATTCGTTCGCCTTTAAACTCCTTATCCCTCGCCTTCGCCATCCTCATCGTCGCCGCCTTTGTCACCGTTGCATGCTCGTTACAATTAATTTCCACATCATTACCGCCATCACACTTTTTCAATGTCCCGCTGCTTGTTTATCACCTGACCCAATGTTGTTGTTGTTTTTGGTGGTGGTGATGGTGGTGGTGGTGGTGGTTGTGTTGGTGTTAATGCTATTGATTTCGCTTCATCCAGAAATGTGCACACTTAAACAAACACTTTGGCTAAGCCATCCGCTCCAGCGCTAGCGATGTATGGTTTTGTAGCATGGAACGCCACATCGAATATACTCTCATCGAATTTCTTGCGATGCGCTGTGATCTCTTGCACACATGTCTTATTGTCCAAATTCCAAAGTCGTATCGAGCAATCATGTGAACCCGATAGCAAGTACAGTCCATGCGCGTCCACGGCGAGCGATGTGACAGGCTCCAAGTGTGCCACCATCGAGTGTATCAACGTCCCCGAAACGTTGTCCCAAAAGCGTATGTGACGATCTTCATGCGCTGTGATCGTTATAGGCAGCGTCGGATGCGATACCACTTTGTTAATAAATTTCCCCGTATTGCCAGACATCTCCTGAGCAGCCTCCAATTTGACCACCTGCTTGCCGGTCTCCGTATCGTACACAATACAATGTGCACTATTATATGCCACAACAATGTGATCCACCTCATTTCGCACAAAATCAACAGATGATGGTGTACCCTCAGCCTCGGAAGCAGTGTAGGTGCGCAACAGTGGCTCCTTGGTGTACGGCGACCAGAGTTTCACGGTGCCATCGGCTGAGCATGACACAATATTGCTGTGCATCGTAGTCAGTCCCCATACGGCATCGGTGTGACCCTCCAATGTGCCCGAATGCACGCTTGGATCGTAACAATCGTATGGATCGATGTTGGGCGATGGTAGTTGCCAGCATTCAATGTTTCCATCCAAACCGCCTGAATAGCAAACATCACCGGTGGTGGACATGCCGAGACACAGTACGGGACCGGTGTGCGCACGGAACGTATACAATGGCTCTACATCGAGACTAGCTGACTTTTTGGCTTGTACCGTCTTCTGTAGATTCCACAATTTGAGTGTGTGATCCTCGGAAGCGGTGATCAACACCGGCTCCTCGGGGTGGAAAATCAATGCGCGTACACCATCGAAATGCGAACGTAGCGTATATTTGGCGTTCCAGGTTTTGCGGTAGCTACCAGTACCGCCGCCAGTGCCATCCTTGGCATTCGCATCATACGAACTCTCCGCCTCGTTGTTGACCGTCAGTTGGGCAAGTTCACCTAGGCCGAGTGAGGCGTCAACCTCCTCATCGCCACCTGCTGTGACGGCGGTGATAAGATTGCGCCGAGCCGCGGCAGAGGCAGCTGCATTGTTAGCCGTGTTGTTCAATTGTTCCGTCGTATTCGGTGATAAATATCCTTGGAGGTGGGGAGTGTGAGAGACAGAGAGAGAGATGTGTATATATGCCAGGGATTGGTTGAATGGGGTGGTGGTAGATTGAGGTCACAATGTGGACAACGACGGAATGCAGCGATTAATATAAATTTCCAACGTACAATGTAGTCGGTGTGATGATCGAGTTTGAAACAGGTTTTTTTTTTTAATTAAATTATTTTATGCAATAGAAAGGAAGAATAAAAAAGAAATCAATTAGTTCAAAGCGTAAATATATATTTTCTATGAAAACTCAATAATATATCGAAACCATTAAGGCTTATATTGAAAAAGGATGCAGAAAGATTGAAAGGCATGTTGAGAGCGAAAGGCAAAGAGCAATATGCCATAATTTACTATAATTTCTTAACATAAAAACAAAACATGAGAGCACCTGGACCATCTGCTGAAGTGAAACTTTTATCGCATCATTTTTTAGGGCTGGATTTTCTATATCATATTTAGACAACGATATTTGTTCGTCATATTTTGGCAAAGCTTTCTTCGCCTTAATCGATGCTGTTACCGATAATATTACAGTCTAAAAATTGATAGATAGGCGCTATTTAACAGCACATGCATGCGACTGCAAGAAGATACCCGATAATACGAATATTTCGATAATTCGAATTAGCTCTGCAATCACTAGTTTGCATTATCGAGTTTTGACTGTATTAGGTTCTGATTCAGTGACTATGTTGATTGGAAATATTTTGGTGGCTCAAAATTACAATTACAATGGTTTAAAGCATTTATATTTACTTCTTCTGATTCTAATATAAACGTTACTGTTAATATTAATCTTAAACTTAACCTTAATCCTAAGCTCATTGCTAATCTTAATTCTAACCCCATTCCTAGTCCAAACCTTAATTTTAACATAGATTTTGATCATAATCTTGATTTTAGTCTTAATTTTTATCTTCTTTTTGGTTGTTTGTGTTTCCGAAAGGGTAGGAGTATGATGTAGTGTGTAACGATTTTCCGTCATCCCTTGCCAAATTTGGTTTGGAGACATCTTAGTTTTTATCGTGACCTTTATAATTCATAATTTCAATCTTAATCTTTACCCTATCTATGAGCTTGACTAATTGTCAAAAATTTGCGATGAAAACTATGTCGCTAAGATTTGTCTGTATTTGACTAAATTTGTTGTGCACTCTTAAAGCACCTAAAATTAAATATTTGCAGCATAGTTTTAGTCGCAGTTCTTTTGACAAATGGTATAGCTTGGCAATTTATCAAGTGCACAGAATTCGGAGGTTAATCTCAATTCTAAGTATAATCCTTATCTCAATCTTAATCCTAACCTTAATCTAATCTAAATGTTAATTTTAATCAAAATCATTATCTCATCCTAATTTACCTCAGTAGTAATCCTAGTATTACGTTAATGTTAATCCTTTTCTCAATGTTAATCCTAACCTTCATATTAATTCGAATTTTCGAAAATTCACTCTCAAGAGAGAAAAAAGCAACATTTTCTTGTGGCAATTTTTTAATTCACTCCTGAATTAATTGACCCATTTCCCAGGTACACAAGTTAAGAAAAAAAACGCTCTTTGCCCTTCACAACTCGTTCAACAAAAAGCATTCACAATATATGTACATAAGTAATAATAAAAGGCAGGAGATTAAAAAAGGCAAAATATTTAAGTAAGTTTTTTTTTTTTGTTAAAGGAACATCTATTTATAAGAATAATAAGCACCTTCGGTTATTAGATTTATATCATTCAGAAGCTGCTCCCCAACCTCGGCATCAAGATCTTTTAAATATATAAAAAAACGAAAAAAAAGAATACAAAAAAATACAAAATAATTGTTGAAATAGAAAGAAGCGAAGAAATTTTCTTGTACTTGTTTGTTATAGCTGATTGTTATTTTTTAATTTTTTGATACGTTCAGTGCGACTGCGCAACAGCTGCGTGATTTGATTGCAATGAAAATGAATTCAATTCGATTGTACGTAAGTAAGTAAATACTAAGTACTACGTAAGTTTAGCGGGGGAAAAGGGAAAAATCACAAGAATTGAAACCAAAGTAAGTGAAGAAAATGTTGTGGAAAATGTGGAGGAGGTTGTGGATATTGAAGACTTAGTCCGATCACTTCGAAGCGTACAGTTGGAGAATAAATTTTCAGTGAAACATGAAATTTTGGAGCAAGATTTATTTTTTTTCAATAGGTTATCTATGGAATTACTGATGAAGTTATTATTCTAATTGATAAAATTTACTTTTTATGCGAATCGCCTTGAAAATCGAGATTTTTGGCTAAATATAATGGCTTCTAAACTATTAAGTTGCTTTTGTATGTAATAAATTGATTTATTATAAATTCCTTTCAAAAAAAAAAGAAAAAAAACTAAAAATCTTAAGATTTTGAATTTGGAAAATCAAATGCATAAAAAGCGCAGCTACATACATATGTGTATAA